GAATTCCCCAGCCTGCCTGCTTTAAGATGAGTGGACTTCAACTCCCAGAATCCCCCAGCCTGCGTGCTTCAAGATGGGTGGTCTTCAACTTCCAGAATCCCCCAGCCTGCCTGCTTCAGGATGGGTGGACTTCAATCCCCATAATTCCCCAGCCTGCCAGCTACTCATCTTAAAAGCAAGCTGGCTGGGAATTCTGGGAGTTGAAGTCCACCCATCTTAAAAGTTGCCAAAGCTGAGAAATGTTACACTTCTGCCTCCTGGCTCATTCCTGCACCCGCCTGCAAATCTTTTGACTCCAGGTTCCAACATTCTTGGCAGTCCCTGCTGGGGAGAATGGAGCCTATAATCCAAGCAGCTTCTGAGAAGCTCCAAGTTGACACGGCCAGCCTAGCTGCACAGCCTCCTTGTCTCCCATTATAGGACTTCTGAGGCTGACGGTTATTTTGTTCTGAACAAAATTGTTCTCCAATTAAAGGGCATAATGAGAAGGCCCCAACAGGGCTGCTGTTTGGGCCTGGCGAAATTAAAATCTGTAGTAACTGACTAAGTGTAAAAAAATAATTTGGGACATTTGTCACTTTTAACTAGGCTTCAGCAGAGCTTCCAGGGAGGTTTTCCCTCTCCCGCTCCCGCTGAGTAAGTCCTCCCTAGAGGACAGCCAGACAAGAGGAACAAGTATTCTTGAGTATCCTGCCCCAAAGATCAGAGCTGATCACAGGGACTACAAACCTGACAACTTTAAAAGTTGTGGACTTCAACGCCCAGAATTCCCCAGACAGCTGTCTGTGGAATTCTGGGAGCTGAAATCCAAAAGTCTTAAAGTTGTTTCAAGTTTGGAGACCCTGCTGTAGAGGCTGGCTGGGGAATTCTGGGAATTGAAATCCACACAACTTGAAGTGGTTGCGATGGATAACCACTGTGCCTTTCTGATTTTGGTGGGGCCGCTGAGCCCCCCCCCCCCAAGAATGGCACAGTCGCTGAGTCCAGGTAGTCCTCGACTTACAATCACAACTGCGATCAGAATTGCCGTTCTGGGAGTCGAAGTCCACAGATCTTAAAAGTAGCCAAGATTGAGAAACACTACTGTAAAACTATCCCCAACTCTCACTGCCTCTCTGCCTTAGTTTTCCTCTTCTGTGAAATGGGCATCCTATCGATCATTCTCTATAGGGCAGAATGACAGCAAACTTATCAGCAGAGGATGGAACCTGCAAACAGTCCATCCGTGATCCTATACCAGGGGTTAGGGAACCTTGGCTCTTTTAGGACTTGTGGACTTCAACTCCCAGAATTCCTGAGTCAGCATGGCTGGTTCAGGAATTCTGGGTATTGAAGTCCACAAGTCCTAAAAGAGCCAAGGTTCCCTACCCCTGTCCTGACGTATACCAATACTGGCTGAACTACAAGTCCCAGCATTCCTTGCCTGGTTGCCTGGAGCAATGGGAACTGGAGTCCAGCTGTCCCCAGAAGGCCACTGGTTCCTCCCCTCTGTGACGGGGTGTAGACCCCACACACCTTGGTACGTCTTTCTTTCGGCCTAGCCTCCTTACAGGGCTGTGTAAATAATTCCTTCCTTCCTTCCTTCCTTCCTTCCATCCTTCCTTCCTTCCTTCCTTCCTTCCTTCCTTCCTTCCTTCCTTCCTTCCTTTTCCCAGATCTATCTCAATAACCAGATTACTACCCCATCCTGATTCTAAATACCCCCTGCAAATGAGAAGAGGTACAATTAGCAATGTGAACCAAATTCCTGTTGCAGTTCTGTCCTTACACCAGGATAGTGACCTACCCCTAGCCCTGCAAACGGACCGGCTGTGTTCTCACAACCTGTTTACCTTGAATCCCGAATTATGCCATTTTCTGGGTTTGCACAAAACCCTGAACCCTAAAACTAACTCATAACCACAGGCATTCACACAACTTGTTACACCAGGGGGAGGGGAAATTCCAGATTTAAACGCAACCCAACGCAAGGTATTGTGTGAATGCAGCCGTTCGATTCTTCCTTGAGCTGGTTTAAACACGTTGAGGCTCACAGCCAGGGCTCTGGAGGGCTGGGAATAGCTTGAAACACAGCCCTTGGATGACTCTGGACCAATCCCTCTTGCCTTATCTGGCAGGGCTGATGTTTGCAGGATCAAATGGGAGGCAGCCGAACGGTGCCTGCCACCTTGCCCTCCCGGGAGAGAGGCGAGATGCAATTCTTTAACGCATAAACAATGTTTAAAAGCATGACCTGAACATGGAGAAGCCTCCTCTGGCCTGACACCACCACCCCCCTCGCCCTGTTCTCACTGCAATCAGAGGCAGCAGCCCCCATGGCCGAAGCAAAGCAAGGCTTCAACCTTGGGAGTGGAGGCACAAACCCATCCCTGGAAATTGGGATCTGGAGACACTTAATCCACCAGCCAAAAGCCCAGTCTGGAAGTCCAGCTTCCCTGGAACTGAAACACTACAGCGGCAGTAAATGTGCTGAAAGGAAAGCCTCTGTTTACCTTCCCTTCCTTCTCTCCTTCCTCCTTTCCCCCTTCTCTCTCCATCCTTTCCCTCTCCCTCCCTCCCTTCCTTAATATGTTTGTCACACTCCCTTCTTTTTCCTTCTTCTGCTTGCTTCCTTGGGCTGTTGCAACCCGGAGTTCTTTTCCTAGGCCAACCGAGATCCCTTCTGCTTGCTTAAAATTAATTAGCACAAATGAATCGGACGGCTTTTCCCCTTCGGAGAGATAGCGGTTTGTTGTTATGTTTTGGGGGTTTTTTGGGTTGGTTTTTTTTTTTTTTTCCCAGAGAGAAAGAGTCATCCAGAGGTTTTATTTGCAAGCAGGGAGAGCAACAAATGAGGATTTTTATAATTTCCTGTCTTTATTCCTGGGCTGTTTCTCTTTCTCTCCTTGCAGGAAAAAGGCCCTACATATATATTGTTCAAGAAGACAAGGTTAAAATGCAAAATACGAAAGCAAAATCTGAAAGAAGACCAAAAAAAAAAGGACAAAAAGCACAAAAACAATCAAAACGTTTAAAAAGGTGCATCGAACACCACCACCCCACATATACACTTATTATCTCCTCTAGTTGAATACTGATTAATACATCGTTATAACATTAGTCCCCACCTCTTGCAAAACAGGCCCTCTTTGAACTACTAAACCCATTTGCAAATTATTGACCTGTCTGTTATACCTTATATTAGTAACAGAGTAGTTAACAGGAAGAAGAATACTAAAACAAGGAAAGAGCCCTTGTGATCAACGGCAAGACACTGCTTGGTTTTTATTTACAAATATTATACATGAGTAGAAACAGCCATGCCTTCGTTGGGGGCTTTTGTTAAAGAAGAAAAATATATTAAATACCGATATTATAGGGCCATCAATGCAATGGGGGGGACCGCAAGGGAAGAATCAAACGTCAGGCTGGAGTAATCTCCCCCCACCTTCCCCAAATTAATAATATAAATGCCTGCAAACACGCCAGGCAGGAGAACTACTATCCGACCAGCCTTTCTTCCTGGGACACAGCACAAGATTGCCACCCTGGTTCCCCCCCCCCCAATTCTTGCCTTTTTTTTTTTTTTTTGCAAATACCCCCCCCCCACACACACACACACAATCCCTCTTTTTAAAGATGGGCTATGACTTCATGCCGCAGGAAGACCCTCTCAGCCCTGGCTCTTTGCAGAGATCTGCTGTTAGGCTCAGGATGGAGGGGGGGGGGCTTTTCCTTGAAAACACCCCCTCTTCCCAAATTTAAACCCCACACCCATTCGCCTCCTCCCACCTCCCCAAACCACGGGGACATAGGCTGCCAAGCAAAAAAAGGAAGAGGGTGGAAAAACGGCAAAACCCCCCCCCAAAAAAACGCCAGTTCCAGACAGCAGAGACCTTAACTATCCTTAAGGCAATGGGGGAGGGGGCGCCGAGACCCTTCCCCACATACAACGGAGTGTCCAGTTTAAAAAAAAAAAAATCCGAGCCTCGAGGCTTGCTCTCCTGTAAACACGGGCATCCGGAGAGGGAAAATCCCTGCTTTTCCGCTACACAATTTGCTATTTTTTTTAAAAAAAAAAAAAGGGGGGGGGGTAAATGCACGGAGGCATGGCATCATTCTGGCTTTAAAAGGGGAAAGGAGTGGAGGCTTCAAAATCCCCCCCCCAGCCATCCACCCACCCACCCACCCATATTCGTACTTCCTAACAAACCCCGATCTGTCAAGCTGGGAATCGTAGCTGGGCAGCAGCAAATAAGGGAAAGCTGGCTTGCGGCGCTACTCTCGAAGAACAGGCTCGGTTTTCAGCCGCCCCCCCCCACCCCCCGATCTCTGGATGGGGAGTTTCGGAGGCGGCTGCAGAAAATGGGGATTCTTGGCATTTTATTTTATTCCTCTCTCGTTTCCGAAAAGCCTCGCAACGCCTCCAGCCCGGGCGACCAGGCAGAGGCGAAAAGCGAGCCTGGGGGGGGGGGCGTTTGGGGGGAAGGGGAGGCGCGGGAGGGTCGCCAAGAAAAACACGACCGAGCGATCCAGGCGTCGCAAGGATGCTGGGATGCTGGGATCCAAACGGGCGCCGCTCACACCTTCCTGGCCAAGGTGAGCTGCTCTCTCCATGGGGGCGCGCGTGGAAATGGGGGGGGGAGAGAGAGAGGAAGGATGGAGAAGGAAGCGGGCAAGTCGGGGGCCCCGCAGCCCCCCTCCCCAAATTACCCCCCTCCTCCTCGGCCCCTCCGAAGCCCCCCCCCTCGTTAGCGCACCCCGACGCCGCTTGGCCCCCATCCGCCTTGCCGAGGAGGGGGCGCGCAAGTCGAGACCCCCCCACACCCTCCTTTCCTCCCTCCCGCCTCCAGAGGGGACCGCAGCGCCCGCCGCCCTCCCCCCCTCCCCGGCTTGGCCCTGCCGGCCTCCCCGGGGGCTCTGCCCGAGCTCCCCCCCCCACCCGAGATGCCCGGGGACGCAGCGGAACCCCACCCACCCCGCCACCGCTCGGCGCGCAAGGGCGCAGCCGCCGCTGGTACCTGCGCGGAGCCAGACGGGCGGCGGGTCGGAGCTGCGCCGGCCGAGGATGCTCCGGAGACGGCGCGGGGATTTGGGGCGGGGGGCGGCCGTCGCGCCCCTCTCGGTGGTCGCCCTCCTGCTGCTGCTGCTGCTGCTGGTTGTCGCCCGGGCTGCTCGGAGGAGGAGACGGTCGCGGCTCCCGCTGCAAACCGGGGCGGCAGCGGACTCCTCCTCTGGCTCTGCCGCCGCCGCCAAAGCGCCGCCCCGCCCCGGCTCGCCCCTCCTCTCGCTCCTCGGCCCGGCTGTCCCCAGCGGGCGCCGGAGGCTTCGGCCGGGCGGCGGGATTCCCTCCCCCGCGCCGGACTCCGGCTCCCTTCGCCGTCGCCGCCGTTTACAACACAGCCCCGGGCGCGCGCACCGGAGGCGCGCACCCCCTGCCGTCTCTCCCCCACCTGCTGCCCCCGCCCCTCCGGCTCCGCCCCTTCCCCCGCCCCGGAGGAGCAGCGCGGCTCGGGGGTCGGGCGGGGGGGGGGCATTCGGAGAGGGACGCCGTTGCGCCTTCCTGCGCGCCCCCCGCCCCGCAGAACTACAGGTGGTCCTGCACTTACGACCGCGATGGAGCCCCACAGTGATGTGGCCAAGTGAAACGTTAGTTAATAATAATAATAATAATAATCAATAATAATAATCTATAATAATAATCAATAATAATAATCAATAATAATAAATAAGACCTACAAATAGAAATAGAAAGACTGTGGCAAAAGCAAGCAAGGGTAGTACCAATAGTCATAGGCGCCTTGGGTGCCATCCCAAAACAACTGGAGCACCACTTGAACACCATTGGCATTGACAAATTTGCTATTAGTCAATTGCAAAAGGCAGCCTTATTAGGAACTGCTTCCATCCTGCGACGATACCTGTAATACCATCAAACATCCACATCTGCCTATCCCAGGTCCTGGGTAAGGACTCGATAGGTAGACAAAATGCCAAATCCAGTCTGAACATCTGGCTGACTGTGCGATGATTAATAATAATAATAATAATAATAATAATAATAATAATAAAGCTGGAAGGGACCTTGGAGGTCATCAAGTCCAACCCCCTGCTCAGGCAGGAAACCCTACACCATTTCGGACAAATGGCTGTCCAGTTAAGGGAGTTTTGCCCCATTGTACGACGTTTCTTGCCACCGTTGTTAAGCGAATCGTTGCGGTCGGTAAGTTAGTCGCAGGGTTTGGGGCATGAATCTGGCTTCCCCCTTGATTTTCCTTAATCAGGAGGTCTCAAAAGAGGGATCCTGCGACCGTCATAAATATGAAGCAGTTTGCCCAGTGCCTGAATTTTGATCCCGTGACCACGGGAGAGGCTGCGACTTATGACCATTTCTCACACTTACGACCCTTGCAGCATCCCCAGGGTCACGTGATCAAAATTCAGACGCTTGGCAATTGACTCGTATTTATGATGGTCGTAGCAATCCGGGGTCACGTGATCCCCTTTTGCGACCCTTCTGACAAGCAAAGTCAAGGGGGAAGCTGGATTCGCTTAACAACCCTGTTACTAACTTAACAACTGCAGCGATTCACTTAGCAACCGTGGCAAGAAAGGTTGTAAAACGGGGCAAAACTCACGTTAACAAACGTCTCACTTAGCAACAGAAATCTTTGGATTCAGTTGTGCAGGACTACAGTTTAAAAAGGCCCAGGATTCCATCTAACCCAGGGGTGGCGAACCTATGGCACGGGTGCCAGAGGCGGCACTCAGAGCCCTCTCTGTGGGCACGCGCGCCGTCGCCCCAGTCCTAGGCCTTCAGCTGGGTTTTAGAAAACCTTTTCGCTTCAGGCCTCCGCCACCATGTACAAAAAAAAAAAGGTTCAATCAATCCGTCAATTTCAACTTCTCGAGGGGAAAAAAAAAGATCTTGCAAAGTTGGAATTGATTGATTGAACTTTTTAGTCCCACCCAGTCTGCCGTTACCACTGCAGCCACGCCCACCCAATGGGCCACGCCCACCCAATGGGCCACACCCACCCGTCACCCAACGATGCATAAGTGGGTTTTGGGTTGCAGTTTGGGCACTCGGTCTCTAAAAGGTTTGCCATCACTGGTCTAACCTGTTTTATCAAGCTGGGCCAATGCAGATCAAGAGGCATTGCAAACCTACCTAACATTTTCTTCGACTAAGAAAGTGGGGGGCTATGGGGCTGCCTCCCCCCAAAAATGCAAATTTGCCCTAATACCGTGTCCTAATCTTGCTCTGTTCCACCATTTCTGATCTGGCTGCTTTAAGAGGCAGTCAGAACTGGACTGGCAAGAGAGCGGGTGTCTAACTTGCCCCCTCCTTCCAGCTCCTGTAGCCCATCCAATTTTCCTCCAAAGAGACCTCCACCACCCCACAAGCCAAACCTCCCCGTCGTCAGCTGCCTGCCTGGACAACCAGCCCAGCTCCATTCTTCCCACCAACGTGGTGTGGAGCGCTAATGCAGTATTGATCCGCAGAGGCTCAGCCAAAGGCTGACAGTTGCATGAGATGAAATGAGAGGGACAAACCAGCAAGAAGAGCGGAAAAAAGGGGGAAGGGCAATGGGGACTAGCAACTTGGCTCGGCAGTGCCATGGACCAGGAGTCTTCAGCTCCCCTTGCAGCAAATTTGGCCCCAAAGAGATGGACCCACTTTCAGTTCACTTAGGGAAGTGAGCCAAGCCACTGGCTGCAGAAGAGGGAGGGACAAGATTAAGAGGCAAAGTAGAGCAGAATTTAACTCTCTGGGTTTTCCCAGTTTGGCAACTTTAAGATGTGTGGACTTCAAGTCCCAGAATTCCCCAGCCAGCTGTGCTGCAAACACGGCAGGCAGGCGTACTACTATCTGTGCTGGCTGGGGAATTCTGGGAGTTGAAGTCCATTAGCTATGGAGGAGAGAGAGAGGGAGAGAGAGAGAGAGAGAGAGAGGGAGGGAGGGAGGGAGGGAGGGAGAGAGAGGGGGGGGCTTATTTTGTGCATTTTCTTTTTAAAACTTGTTTATTGTTCCCATCAGAATTTTTCCTCATTGCTTGGCGACTGTATATTTTCCCTATAATTTCAAACAAAGCAGCAATTGAAATACACCGCTCGCAAACAATGAAAGCAAAGATAGCTGACAGAGAAAATAATCAGCGTCAGGGCCTTATCCATGAATAAAGCACAAGTGGCTGGCTTGACACGTCACACTGAACCACAAACAAGCAACGCACACTAGATCTTTAGGCAGCTGTTTTAACTCTGATGGGTTAACCCAGCTGTTCCCAAGAAACGTGGGAAGAATTTCTCCAAACCTAGTTAGTTCCTGCAGACCTCAACTTGCAACTGAAATGGGACCTGGATTTCTGTTGCTAAGCAAGGCAGTTTGGTGAGTTGTGCCCGGTTTTACAACCTTTTTTTTTTTGCCACAGTTGCCACAATCGCTTTTCTCAGTTGTAACTGTGGTCGCTAAACGAATGGTTATAAATTGAGCACTACCTGTAATTGTCTGGGGGTTGGACTGGATGACCTCCAAGGTCCCTTCCAACTTTATTATCATTGTTATTATTATGGATCATCGCACAGTCAGCCAGATGTTCAGACTGGATTTGGCATTTTGTCTACCTATCGGGTCCTTACCCAGGACCTGGGATAGGCAGATGTGGATGTTTGATGGTATTACAGATATCGTCGCAGGATGGAAGCAGTTCCTAGTAAGGCCGCCTTTTGCAATTGACTAATAGCAAATTTGTCAATGCCAATGATGGTGTTCAAGTGGTGCTCCAGCTGTTTTGGGATTGCACCCAAGTAGCCTATGACTATTGGTACTACCCTTGCTTGCTTTTGCCACAGCCTTTCTATTTCTATTTGTAGGTCTTTGTATTTTGTTATCTTTTTAAACTATTATTATTATTATTATTATTATTAAGATACTAAGCTAAACGAAGCCAGCAGCCCAGATCAAAGACCCTGTTAAGCTGCTGCATAAACAGCTGACCAAGATTCAAAGCCACCCTGTCATCGCCGCATAAGATATTGTCTCAATGGATCCAGCAATGGTCTGACTTGGTTAAGCATGTCGTGTGAATGCTCAGGTTGACATTTCAAGCCGCTTGCATCTTTTCCGAGTGTAGCTGACATAATCACAAACCCCCCCCCCTTCGGTATTTCCCTTTCTTTAGGAGCCCAGCTCAACCGGGCAATTTGGCCATGGATCAAAACACCCGTGGCAAAAATAACAGATTAGTAATGAGCTTGAATCATCGCAAAGTTTCCTCACCAGCATCACAAAGCTGAGCATCTGAACATCAGCAAAAAGGTTGTCCTCGGCTTATAACCTCCACCGAGCCCAAATTTTCTGTTGCTACATGAGACAGTTGTTAAGTGAGTTTGCAACCTTTCCTGCCACAGTTGTTAAGCGAATCACTGCAGTTGTTAAGTCAATACAGGTAAGTCCTTGACTTACGACCACAATTCAACCCCAAACTTTCTGTTGCTAAGCGAGACAGCTGTGAGTTTTGCCCCATTTCTTGCCACAGTTGTTAAGCGAATCACTGCAGTTGTAAAGTTGGTAACACGGTCGTTAAGTGAATCCAGCTTCCCCATTGTCTTTGCTTGTCAGAAGGTCACAGAAAGGGGATCACGTGACCCCCCAGGACGCTGCAAGCGTCGTAAATACATGACTGTTGCTAAGCATCCAAATTCTGATCATGTGACCGTGGGGATAGTGCAACGGTTATAAGTGTGAAAACTTGTCACAAGTCCCATTTTTCAGTGCCGTTGTAATTTTGAAGGGTCACTAAACAAATGGTTGTAAGTCAAGGACTACCTGTGGTATGATGGTTAAGTGAATCTGGCTTCCCCATTGACTTTGCTTTTCAGACGGTCTCAAAGTGTGATCACATGACCCCGGGCCACAGCAACCATCCTAAATATGAGCCAATTGCCAAGCATTTGAATTTTGACCACCACGGTCGTAAGTGTGAAAAATGGTCATAAGTCACTTTTTTCAGTGCCCTAGTCCAGGGGTGGGGAACCTTGGCTCTTTTATGATGCGTGGACTTCAACACTACGTTTTAAAGGCTGGGGAATTCTGGGAGTTGTAGCCCACCTATCTTCAAGCCTGCTGGCTGGGGAATTCTGGGAGTTGAAGTCCACCCATCTTCAAGCATGCTGGCTAAGGAATTCTGGGAGTTGAAGTCCATCCATCTTCAAGCCTGCTGGCTGGGGAATTCTGGGAATTGGATTCCGCCCATCTTCAAGTATGCTGGCTAAGGAATTCTGGGAATTGGATTCCGCCCATCTTCAAGCATGCTGGCTGAGGAATTCTGGGAGTTGTAGCCCACCTATCTTCAAGCATGCTGGCTAAGGAATTCTGGGAATTG